TTGGAGCAGTTGGAGCTTTAGTCTCTTTGGAAACTTTGTGGATCTTGCGCATAGCCTTGGGGCTAAGGGATCTGGAGGAGAGGGCCCCCTCAAACTTGGCTTGATCAAACTCTACCACGAAAGTTTCGACGGTTGTTCTAGTGAGATGAATATCGGATTGCACCACCACTTCCTCGTCAGAGAAGCTCACCCCCAGCGGAGTCGCCATCTTTTGTTTGTGGAAAATTTGTAGTAAAAAGAACTGAAGGAAAATTGATTTTTATTCCTTTAATCTCAATTACAATTGAATTTCTTGATTACAAAAGAGAGGAGAATGAAGCTGGATTCTCCCCTTTGTTTAATTCTGGGTTCTTCACGGTGGTGATGAGATGCCTCCCTCGAATGCTCGCGTCGAGTTTGCTTCTCGTTGACGATCCGACGTCTTGTTTCACTAGAACATGATCTTCTCCTCACGATTTGACGTTGTAGAGGACTTGCTTGGCAAGTTAGAAACTCTGTACGAGTTGATTGATCTTAACCGTAATTGGTTAGACAAGCCGAAGATCTCTTCTTTGCTGCTAAGGAGAGTGATCCAAAAGCCAGCCCCAAAGATCCAGCCTCTGTTGCTGCCAAGAAGTTCCAACAGACCGAACCCTTGAACTGAATTGATTTTCAGTTATTTATAGGGGATTAAGGGGTGTAACCACCTCCTTAATTCGCTCCTAAGTGTGGCTAATGGGATGTAACCGCCCCTTAAATCACTCCTGAGTGGAGTTGTGATCCCCTCAGATCGTGAGAAACGGTTTTGAAACTGTTCAACTCATGTTTGAACGAGTCAAACACAAAATCCGCGTTCTGGTGTAAATTCTGCGTTCAAACGCAATGTCTGGAAGCTTGAACGCAGTGTCTGAAAGCTCAGACACAGTGGCTGGAAGTTGCGTTGGCATCTTGTTGGAAGCTGCGTTTGGCGGCTTGGAAGCTGCGTTTGGCAGTGGATGGAAGCTGCGTTTGGCAGCGGATGGAAGCTGCGTTGGCTGCGCTTGAGCAGCGGTTGGAAGCTGCGTTGGCAGCAGTTGGAAGCTGCGTTGGGCAGCGGTTGGAAGCTGCGTTGGCAGCAGTTAGAAGCTGCGTTGGGCAGGGGTTGGAAGCTGCGTTGGCAGGATTTAAGAGCTGTGTTTGGCAGCGGATAGAAGCTGCGTTGGCAGCTTTGGAGGCTGCGCTTCAGCTGCGTTCGTGGCTATGAACATGGTGCGTCTTGATGCTGGTACGCGGCGAGGACTTCCACGTCTTGATTTGAAGAGACACCATCGATTTGTAGTCTCTTTCTGTAGAAGTGTTGCAAAGATCGTCATTTTGTAATCTTTGCTTTAGCTCTCTGATATGTGAGAGTCGTCAGATTGTAACTCTCGATGTTGATTGTGAAGGCTGTTAAACTAGAGCTCTCATCGGTTGTCATGAAGGTCGTCAGATTGTAACCTTCAGCGATCTACGTGAAAGTCTTCAAATTGTAGCCTTCTGGAAGTCGTCAGATTGTAACTTCCATCATCGGTGTTTGATGGGGATCAGCTAGTGTTGCAAAGATCGTCATTTTGTAATCTTTGCTTTAGCTCTCTGATATGTGAGAGTCGTCAGATTGTATCTCTCGATGTTGATTGTGAAGGCTGTTGATTAGAGCTTTCATTAGTTGTTGCGAAGGTCGTCGGATTGTAACCTTCATCAGTCTGCGTGAAAGTCTTCAAATTATAACCTTCTGGAAGTCGTCAGAGTATAACTTCCATCATCGGTGTTTGATGGGGATCAGCTATCTGTAGTGATTTTTAGACAGCCTACAGATACAGTATTTAAAAAGTTTAATTTATTGATCCATAATAATCACCAAATCCTTTCATGTTAAATCCTTGTGTTTGACACCGAAAAAAACCTCCCACCGAGTGGTGTGTACAAGTCAACATTCCCATTGTTATTTGCACCCCGCTCCCATTTCTTATTTGGTCAAACCTTCCTACAGTTAGGACCAAAGCCAAAATCCCCTCTTAATTTCTTTCATGAACGAGAGGTTTGCTTTCAAAACTAAGATTCCTTTTTCGACAAACGAAAGGGCCTCAATTCCATTTGAACAATCTAGCCTATTAAAGGTAAAATTATCTCAACTCCCACTTGGTCAAACCTTACTACAGTTAGGACCAAAACTAAAATATCCTCTCGATTCATTTCACGAATGAGAGGTCCACTTTCAAGTTGAGTAATCAAACCTTATGACAATTAGGATTATTCAAACCCATTCAGATTCTCTAAGTGAAAATCCCACTTTGAGTTTCCTTTGCATCAGGAGATAGAATATAAAATTCTTCCTCTCTAATTTTGGGTTCATCTCTACCAACAAACAAGAGACCAGGAGATAGAACATAAAGTTCGTCCTCTCTGATTTTAGGTTCATCTCTACCAACAAACAAGAGACTAGGAGATAGAATATAAAGTTCTTCCTCTCCGATTTTGGGTTCATCTCTACCAACAAACAAGAGACCAGGAGATAGAACATAAAGTTCTTCCTCTCCGATTTTGGGTTCATCTCTACCAACAAACAAGAGACTAGGAGATAGAATATCAAATTCTTCTTATCTAATTCTGGGTTCATTTTGCTATCAAGAAAATGTAACATGCTTACATTTTAAAATCCATGCTGCTCACGCATGGGGGATGTTATCTTGATCCCTTATTAGAGATAAGCCTACATCTAACATATGTAACCTATATATTCAACGTTATAGTTCAAAGCCTAAGAGAGTTTAATTCTTTTAGCCAAACATTATATGTGAAACGGATCTAGATAATTCACATACTAGCCCTACTCAAACGGTAGTCGGTAAAAGCACATCAAATCCGTTGATGGCTGAGGATTTGCCAAAAATCCTATAAATATTATGGTTATTTATTCTAAACAAGAATGAGTAATCATAATAAAATTTCAATAAGCAAAATAGTTCACTGTATTCGTCAAAAGCATTTAAACAGAACTACGAAGAAAATAAAAAATGTGTTCTCAAGATTACAACAGCTTATAATGACGAATTTGATCTTCAAGTTTGGAGAGTTCTGTCGTATAAGCCTGTTCAAGCTCAGCTATCAAGTTAGCTTTAAAAATTTCTTCATCAACACTTTGAAGTTGGATGACCTCTTGTTCTTTTTCGGCGAGTATCTTGTCTTGAAGATTCAGTTGTTGAAACAGGTTTGCCTCAACTCGAGTTAATTCCTCCAGATCGGACTCCAAGATCTCCTGAGCATCCTCAGCCTTCATAAGTTGTTCCTTCAAGCAGGCTATCTCGGCTCGACCCGACTCTAAATCCCGATGCAAGTCAATCTTGGCTTGTGTCTTCTTGGCAATGCTCACCCTAATTTGACTAATGCGGGCCCTTAACTTTTGGAGTTCAGATTCAGCTGATTTCTAAGAATCACGCCATGTCTGTAGCCTTAAGTCCATTCGAGAAGCAATATAAGAAGACGCACCATTGGTATGAACATCCCTCAAATGTTCGACGTTTTGTTTGAGGTCGACTAAGTAAGCTTCGATCGAATCGGCTATTTCAGCATATCCATCTTCTCTAATTCCTAAGACATGACGATCGAGAGATCTCCTAAAATTCTCGAAAGGTGATCCTTTGAGGATGATTCGATCAACAATAGTATTCAAGAAAAAGATGAAACTTTAAAGATCAGAGCAAATGATAGCTTTATCCGGGTCTTCGTCTGATAATAAGGCTTGGATACGATCAGACAATGATGAAGAATGAGCTGCAATGAGAATAAATAAGTAAAAAAAATATACGCCAGTATATGGGAACGAACGGAAATATACCAAGTTTAATGGAAGATTCCATGACTTGGTTACCTTGGCTTGTCGATGCTGTGGTGGGCTCTACAATAACCGGAACTTGTTCATAAATAATACTTGTTGGTAGACTCACCACTTCAGACAGTTGTTCAGTCGCAGCTTCTGACGGCTTCGGGTCCAGGTCGACAAATCCCTTAGAAATGGATTCTACAAACAAGATAAGGACGAATAAACGTTCTAGAGGTGTGAATCAAACTACAAAACATACTAAAGACAGGACATACCAGGTTGAGTAGAAGTTGTGGTGATTTGCTCTTCCATGGTTGCCTTCGACACTCTAACTTCGTGAGCAAGTGGAGGTGGATCAGACATAACAACAGGCTCAGTTTCAACAATATCAGAAGTCGAAGGAGCAACAGTTGACGATTTGATTTCAGCTGGAGGACCTGTCAAAAGCAGGAAACCAAAACCTTCAGGTTGATCAGATACACCAATGATAGTAGATGCATCAACTTCAATAGTTGGTCCTACAATTAAAATTCTTATTTAATTATTAAAATAAGAAAAACAAAAAGTCAATTGAAGGTCTAAGTTCGGAAGTACATACCCTCTGATGGACCTACTTCAGTTGAACCAACTTCAGTAGTTGGTCCTGTAGTTGCAGTCGGGGTTTTGTCAGACAGCAGATCGAAAATATGTTGATGGTCATCCTCGGAGAAATCGAGATTGAAATTATGTTCGTTAAAGTCTTCGATCTCCACTTCATGGATAATTTCCTATTCTCCTGGTTCATTTATAGAAATATCTACATGACAGAAAAACTCATCAGTACGTACGTAGAGATATGAATGAACCAAAGTGAATAAAACTAAAGTTACCTCCAACGACAGCTGTGGGATCAGCAACGCTACTACTCGCACCTACCTCCTTTAGTTTAGCTAAAAGAAGATAAAGTGCACATGTTAGCAGAAGAGGTACATGTTCTGATTCACTTATTTCTCGAAATTGCCCTCCAAATGAGAAAATATTTGTACCTGTGTCGGCATTTGGTGAGGTCGATGCAGTGACAGGAGGAATAGCAACATCTACACTGATGGGCGCATCACTCATCGCTATATGCACTTGTTGAGTGAACTTAGCTCATTAACGTCCATTAAGCCAGGGGAAGAAGGTTCAGCCACAATTTCTCCTTCTACTTGCCCCCTGCAAAAGAAAAAGGAAGAAATAAAGTTTTATGTTTGAAAATAAAACAATGGAAGAGAGATGTGTATAAGATTTTACCTCCTTCGTTAACCGAAAGGTCGTGGGTAAACTCCTCTTCAAATACGGGGGGGAGTTTGCGTTGCTGATGAGCAGTCTTCTTAATTCTCTTGGATAAGCGAGCATCTTTTAGAATCTCAGAACTCTCGTGATGAAATTTCGTGCGTAATTCAGTTCCTTGAGAAGGCCGGGGTTGAGCTTCAGAAGAAACGGAAGATTGGGGTTTTTTCCTGCTAATGAGTGGTGTGGTGTCCTCCTCTTCTTCCTCTTCTTCTTCCCGGGTAGGCCATCTGACAGTCATCCTATTGGAAGATGACAAAGGAATATCCTTTTCCTTCATTTGTGTTGGCTTTAAAGGAGCATCTGGCGATTTGGGCGATGAAACACGATGAGTCCGGTGGGCTACAGAAGAAGGAGGAGTATCAGCTTCTGCTTCATCCTCAGTCTCATCCTCTTCGTCAGATGTGTCAAATTCGTCGCTCCCATCTGAGTCAGCTATCTGTTTCCCTTTACGGGAAGATGTAGTAGACTCTTTCTTTCCCTTAGAGGAGATAGTCTTCCGGGCTACTTCTAACCGAGAAGCAACTTCGGCTTCTAATTCAGAAATTTGCTTCTTCTTAACGGATATGTTGGCGGCTAATAACCATCGGCAATATACAGAAGTCATTTGAAGTTTGGGTTCAGCAATAGGCAAGCTAAAATGAGCCCCGGTACAACCGACGACATTCCAAAACCAAGCCCGCGCTCCATCAATGAGACCTCCACAGGTTGTTAGCCATTTGTTTGGGTTCCCGACGTATAACTGATCATTGCCAAATTATCGTGCAAATCTGCAAGGAAGATATGGCTCGATTCTGCAAATATTTTTTGACCGGAAAACCGTGTAACCCGGTCGGATGTTCATGAGCCAATGAAAACTGCCCATGTTGAGAGAAGTCCTATTAGTTCCAGGCATTTCCTCATCAGTGAGCATATCATTATATGCGCCTGAGAATCGAGGGAAACTTTTATAAAACTCCTAACACTTAGCAATCTTGAACTATCTCACAACATCAAGCCATTGTCGGGGGGGACTCAACCATTTACATCCCTCTAAAAGCTATAGCAGAGGAACCTCCGGATCAGACACATTGGGGGCCGACATCATATCAGTCCGATAGAGGACCAACCACGCCATTAAATATGTATATGGTAGTTCTATCCTTAACATAGGAATGTTACTTGAAGGTTGGGCACCCACTTTTGTGAAGGTATTGGCTAAGTTGTGTAAGCCGCTATGGATGTCAGCAATCATAGCTGAGAGCAAAGATAATTCACCTCCGATGGCTAATTGAACAGCAGGAAATAGAACTTCAAGAGGCAGAGTATCTAAAGATTGGTATGGTATTACACACTTCTTTAACCATATGGCTAAATATCCCGCAAGAAGGGTCTCTGATTTTATCCTTTTTACGGCTTGCCATAAGAAAGTCCTAAACTTCGTGTCGCTCGGGAAAGTACCTTCAGATGATCCAATTGTGTAAGACTGAGCATTGATCTTCATGATCAGCTTATTAATATCAGAGGGGGTCAGTGGAGGCGATTCACAAACTGCTTCATCAGTCGAACTTTTAAGATTCTGGAATAAGTAATCGGCAAATTGCTTTAAGCTAATTTGAGCAGCTTTCTTGCTTTTCACTTCAATCTTTGCTATCGCCATTTGATAATGACAAGTCAATTCCCAAAGAATGTCATAAACCACGGGACCCATTTTCTTCATCCTCTGAAGTTGACGGTTGGAAGGAAAGTATTCTTGGTACAGAATATTCCCCATCAGTAATCCTGACACTTTCATCATCTCGTGGAGTGGAAGTCCTAATTCCCCATACTTAGTGAAGAACGTGTTCGTATCCGGGTTATAAGATTCAAATAAAGTGAGAAAATGATCCACACTTATCGGAAGACCGTACATGCTGGCTCTAATCGGAATATCCAATCCCATGTCAGCCAATTCTCGACCCCAACGTCTGAGTACATAGCTAGTCATCATGGACCACCACTTGTCCGCAAGCGAATGAACCCAACCAAAACATGTAAATTTCTTAAGGGGAAATTCTCTACCTAATCGAGCGAGTTGATTCTTCACTGTATTGGCCTTTATCATTAATTCGTTCTGAGGTGCACTATCTGGTCCAAGTACCCCAGGGTGAAGTCCATGAAATGTATACCGACCACTAGAACCAGGTTTCTTGATATCCCTACCAATAAACCCACAATGGATGCGTTCATGGTCTTCTGTCAAATGCCATGACATCTTCCTCGATACGGTTAAATTCCGTAATTGCAAAAATGAGTAATGTCGGGAAAACGGAGGAAGAAATAGAAAATCTCCATCATATTCAATCAGCCAAGCTTCGGGACCACAGCAAAGAGTGTCAGGATCTTCGACTGAATCCCCAAACATATAGTCAGGTTTCCTCAATGGCTCAGTAGAATCTCGAATAGAAGTTAAGGGCAAGTCGGTCAGTAACTGACGCAATGTACGATGACTTCCCTCGTAAATCAGCTCAAGGAGACTGTCAGCACTATCCTCACTAAACTGACGGGCTTCTTTAATCAAAAAATTACCATCAAAGGAGGCATGAAGTGTCCTACTTTGACCCAGATTTTCTCCATCAGAAAAAGCAACAGAAGGGAGGTGGACTGCAAGCAAAGTTGGGACACAGTTGAATAAAGAGAGGCTAAAAGAATAAAGTTTCTTGTTCTTAGTAACCGCGGCAATGTCAACTGCCGCGCGTTACCACGGCAGTGTATGCTGCCGCGCTTAGCCGCGTCAGTGACCGTTGCCGCGGTAACTGAACAGCGACTGTTGGCTTTAAAAAATCACAAGTTTGAACAAAACTCGTGTTTTTGCTGGGGTACATGTCTTGATCAAACAAGATATGTATTTTTGTAGTGTTAATCCCCTCGAAGGGGGACATCAACTCTTCCCGGATGGCTCTCAAAGGAGAAAAACGAGGATATGAACGCAAATGACAACTGTGAATAGAGAAAAACATGAGGAAATTACCTCCAAACGATGTAGCAACAGCCTCAACCTCCTCTGACGTTTGAGCTGCAGATTTGCCCTTGGGAACACGAGCTCTTTTAGGAGACATGGTGTAACTGACCTAAAAGATAAGGAAATTTAGGGTTTTGAATGAGATTTCAAACAAAAAAAAGGCAAAACAAACCAAAAATACAATATATTGGTTCGGTCTTACCAGAGATCAAAAAGAACCAAACTTGGAGAGTGAAAGAACCGAAGAAAAAGCTCAAATCTGAGAAGATCACTCGAAAACCCTAGTTTCTATCTCAAACAAAATCACCCAAGTATGAAGAGATGGGGAGAAGAAGAGCCAAAGTGTGCTTTTATAGAGTATTTGGGAGAGTTTCGAATCAGAATAGCGGGGTACAATGGCCCAAGAAAGCCCGATAGCTGACTTTAAACCTGACTGTGCGTGGCAGTCGATGCCGACACGCTATAGCGCGTCAGTCGACGCTGACGCGCGTTAGCGCGTCAGTCTACGCTGTTTTCTACACTGAAGCGCGAAGGCGTCACGCGCACACAGTGTCTCTACGAGTATTTGCATATGTACATCTCCCTGTGTATTCAAAATACATTCTAGAAAACTCCAACGGGTATATGAGTATAAACTGCATCTCCTTGAACCTCCCAATAGGTACACGAGGTTAAACTGATTCCCAAACACTCCAATAAGGTATATGAGTATAAACTATTCCCCCATACTCCAGCACCTTAAGAGCTTAAACTGTGTAGACTCCAGTCAACGTACGAGTATAAACTATATTCTTATGAAGACAGACACGTTGATAATTACAAGAACTAAACACCAGCTTCAACTCAAGATTTCGACAACGGTCAAGCGATAAACACGGTACCAGAAGGATTTTTAGCTATTCTACAAGGCACTGAGTAGACTAAAAGATGAAGAAGTCAAGAGTCGAAGCCGTTCACAGGCCCTTCTACACGATCTCCTCAATTAAATACTGAAAGGATTACAAATAAGACTTGTCTTATCCAAAGTGTCCCAGGCTCCTCTATAAAAGAATGAGTCTGAGATACTTTGAAGGGGGTATCTATAGGCATCAAAAAATTCTTATAAACATCCAAATACAGCTCAAGACTAAGAAAAGAACAATGTGCATGCTCGTGACAAAATACACTGACGCATGTTAACATAACAACCGATGGTGACGCGCATAGGCGCGACAGCCTATGGTGACGTGCATAGGCGCGACAGCCTATGATGACGCGACAAGGCGCGACAGCCTATGATGACGCGACAAGGCACGGCAGCGAGGTGTGATGTGCGTATGCGCGGCAGGGCATGATGACGCGCAAACAGCAGGGTAATCTCCTATGTGATTTGCTGACAGTTTTTAATATCTTTTGAGAGTCCACGTGACGGCCTACCAGAAGAAGAACGTGTGCTAACGTGGAAGGGTGGTTACAGGCCGAGAAAAGTAGTATTTCGTGGGTTTAAGGTCATGGGAAGACAGTTATAAACGTGGCTGAACGTGGCTGGAACTACCTCTTTAGCCGTGACAGTGGAGACTGACGCGCTAAAGGCCGCGTCAGTGATGGCTGTCGCGCAGTGATGGCTGTCGCGTCCAAAGAGAAGGTTACTGGTCAGTTATCTTGCTTCCATTTCCATAGTTATGCACTCCTATCCCTATAAATACCTCTTTACACACGAAACCAAGGACAGAGAACAGATTAGAGCAGATAAGCTTGGGCATTTGGTGAATGTTGAGCAAGAGAGAGAGTCTTGATTCCTCAAAAACACTTCAAAGAATCTTTCGTTGATTCCTAAAGATTTAAGCCTTGACTTAATCTTTGGAAGAGTGAACATCTTTCATCGATAAGATATTCGCTTCAAATTCAAACTTCGATAAACGAAGAAAGAATCCTCAAAGCCTTTCACAATTCAATCAGAATCTTGTGAATCGGTGGTCCACGAGTTAACGCACTTCCGGCACAGGCAAAGTCCCCACAAAAGCAGGAGTTAATAAACGATTTCTGTGTTATTTTCTAGAGAGTTATAATTCTTTTGCTCATTGTGTAAGAGAGGTCTTATAAAAAGGCTATTTTCTTTTGAATTCATTGTAAGCGATCAAAAATATAATGGATTCTACAATGAAACCAACTTTTGACGAAAACAAGAGGGAAAAAGGTGAATGATAGAATGGTGGCACAATCTTTGTAAACAATGTGTATTATAAAAAAATCAATTAGATGACTTGTTGGTGTTTAGGTGTCAATGGTTTTTAGGAATAACACTTTTCGTGGCTGTTAGGTATTGGATTGTGAAACACCAGCTCATATATGTTCCCAAACAATCTTATTTGACTCCCTGGTGCAAGGAGTCAAGAAGATTTATGTAAGATGGATGGCACAAGGTGCAACATCGCAGGTGTAGGAGCAATAACAGTGTTGGGAAGAAAAGGGAGCATTATTGCCTTGGACAATGTTCAGTTGGTCCCAAAGGTGAGGAAGAATCTCAAATCTATTTGGGTTTTTGACTATATTGGTTCCGAACCCAAATGCATGGAGAAGTCATAACTATATAGCACGATATGAATCTTGTCCTAATTAGAAAAAAGTGTTAAGATGGATTGTATTGGGTACCTAAAGGAATTGATGTTCAAGGGTGGAGTTTTAGCTTCGAGAGAATGTACGACCACGAGGAAGAGAAGTGTGATCCGAACCTAGGTTGGAGAGCCAAAGAGGAATTTGACTCTAGGCGGAGAAGTCAATAAGAGGTCTGTAACAAGTCGATAGCCGGCTTAGAGTGTGCAGCAATAGAGCTTTATGTCAAGTCGCCAGAAGGTTTGACCTCACTACGCAAGCGATGATCGCTTCAGTGTCTTGTGGGAGAGGGGGTTTATGGTGATTTCTCGAAGGTGTTTGTTCTCTATAATTTTACAAGTTTACTACAAAACGTCACAAGAAAGAATTAACGTTTCTGAAGGTGACTTCATACAAGCCTAAGGTGGAAATTGTTGGGAATAGTCTTGTATTTCAACCCAAGAGACGACAACAAGAGAAGATAGAAGAAGTGGTATCCAAACAACGATGAAAGGCAAAACAACCATGAAAATATAGAGACTGCTAATGGTCAACGTCGACGGCTCGTGGGCTAAACTGGGTCAAAACCTAGTTTGTGTCAATTTTGGATTGGTTTTCTTTGAAAGTTCTTCTGTATTTGAAATTGTACTCAATATAGGGTTGTTCCTAATGTCTAGAGTTTTAAAAAAAACCAAGAAGAGTTACATATTGTAAAAGAGAGGTAGAGAGAACTAAAGAGAGAAATCTAGAAATTTGAGAAATATTTTGTGAGTTTGAGAGGCTTTCTTGTGGGATCTATTAAGTCCACAAGAATAGATGTTATCTTGTAATATCTAATATAAAGAAGACTCAAAGTTCTCCCCATGGACATAGGCGATTGCCAAATCACATAAAGTCAGTGTCTTTGTTCTTGTTTAGTTTTTGGGGAATATTTCTATTCTGTTTTGCCCAAACAAGCAGTTTCTTGGGGTTTCTATTTTGTCGTGTAATCGATTGGTCTATGAAGGTCAAGATTTAATCAAGTGTTTGGTGACACTTTCAGAGTCTATGCCTCCGCATTGATCGCCTATAGGGNTGGAATGATCTTGGGTTCATGCGTAGAATTCACTAGGTTCTTGTAGTAATAGTGAAGGGTACATGAGAATGAAGATCTATTAGCGTATGAAGTGTAACAAATATTGACTAAGATTGGAACATGTGAAACAATTGATACAATTTATGAGAAAGAGAGTTAGATTTGTATAGTCTATGAGATTGGTGGAATATTGAATGGAGTAAAAACATTCAAAATGACGTTATGTTTCCAAGTGCTTGCTATTAAGGAAATAATAAGAGGAAGACATGAGGAGGGAAGGTGAGAGAGCGAATGAGGGTAGTGAAGAAGGGAGCAGAGGGAGGGGGGGAGAATGACGGTGGAAGAGGAAGAGTGAGTAGGTGGAGGAGATGAGGTGGGCGAGGAGAAGCAAAGGTTTTATTTTTACAAAAATCAAATTTTGAGAGGAAATTTGTAAATATAGGAGATTTGAGGGATATATATGCATGCAAAAACAATTCATAATTTTGGGCTCAAATTTCACTACTAGCGACGGGACATTACCTTGTTGACTAAGGAGTTCACTTTTTATACATTATTGTCGCCAAAACTGCTAAATTATCTTATTGATAAATTAATGCCACTAAATATACTAATTTGATAATTAGCAAGAAGATATCCTTAACGCGGGACACTACCAAGTTTGATCTAGAAGGAAAGTAAATAGCAGGTAGACAATTTAGGCACACTACCAAGTTTGATCCTAAAAGAAAGGTAAATAGTAGGTAGACAATTTTGGAAGAAAATGTTATGCTAGTTTCCCATCCATTTGCCCCTACAAACCAAAACCACGCCTCTTGCCGCAACACCCCCCCCCCCCCCCCCCCCCCCAAAAAAAAAAAAAAACCCAAAACAAAACAAAACAAAACAAAACGCATCATACTATGTAGAAAATAGAAGAAAGGAGGGGAAAATTTGATACAAGGTTAATTACAAATATAATATCATCCAATTGCAAAGAAATTCCATGTAGTTCTAATTGTTGCCCCTAAGTGAATTTTTTTTACGCTGTAAATTGTTAAAAATATTTGAGGAGGCAGATATACACCTCATATAGTTCTATTAATACTTTTAATTATAAAAGAGTCGAAAAAGTTCACTAAAATCGCATTAGGCCAATACCACAGGGGTTTTTTTCACAATAAGTAGTACTATAGGGATCTTTCGCAACAAATATTAACTACAAAGGTCTCTTTGCAAATGGGTGATACTGTAGAGGGTCTGTTTTCACGGATAAAAGAAATTTTATAAGACAATGAGGTAAAGTTTACAAGGGCCTTATAATGGCCTAATACTAGATAAACAAATCTGGTGAGCCATTTGCTTGACATAGGCATGAACATTCATCTCTGGCAAAAGGACTACAGTTTGTTAGTAGAATGTTACATAATATTCAGAGACCAACCTCTAGCTGCTTCAAAATGACAACGCATGACTGCTTAAACAAAATTGACACTGTAGTAATGACCCACCTCTTCTCGTTCTCCACATCATTTTTCTGCTAAGGCTGCAACAAATGCAATATCAGGATTCGTTGTTCTTGACAAGGTGAGCTGCGTTTCCAATTTAACACTGTAACCAACCAATATACGGGAAAGATGAACACAGTGAACAGATCCAGAGATGTTACTGATTCAAAAATAAAAGAGAATATTTTCAACAAAAAATAAAATAAAAAGAGAGAATGGTGAGGCTAATTGGCATATTCCCACGTTTTGCACATATATACCCCGTGTTGCTTTTGTAGCACTAGTATGCAAGCATTTTTGTGGTAGCAAATGTCCTTCTGTTAGGTGATCTTTAGAACATTCACAAAGATTCCCTTGTGATTTAAACATGACATATTCTGGGTAATTATACCTAAAACGTAATAAATAGAAAAACAAGACGAGGATGAGGTGTAGGACGAGGAGGAAATAGTAGATAGAGAGAAAAGTTCGGGAGGAAGAGCAAAGTGGAGAATTTCATGGTGGGTTGGGGAGAAGGGGCAATATGTTCGGAGACGATAAGAGAGCAAGGAGCATGAGATGGGTAAATGAAGAAGAAAAACTAAAGAGGGTAATTTGGTCGTTTAACTTGCAAGTTGACACCGTGAACTAATCTTTACAATGAAAAACTTCAGGGTATCAAAATTCTATAAAGAAAACTTAGGGCATATATGTGCAAAACATATGAAAGTTTTAGGCACTTTTGTGCCAATTAGCCACATGAATAAGTGTCAAAAAGTCCACATACATGAGCAGCTGCGCCGCTGCCATCATAAAGCAAAGTCCAATTCCACCCTACGCAGAACAGTAATAACTTTGCTGTAGAATTCTGGTTCTTCTTCCTTTATGCTGTCTAGTGCTATTGATTCGTGTTCATCTGCCTGAACAAATAAAAGAAACAAGAATAAAAAACACCAAACCTAATGATACAACATTCCTCCACATGATTGAGATAAGCGAGCCAAATGCCCATATCTGTATATCATATCTAAAATGAGCGAGAAAACTATCAAAGTTATTCTTATCTTGCACCAACAAGTTCATTTACAGAATCTAGGTTTGGTTGATTGGTTGCACTGTGTAAGTGTTCTAACCAATATAATTGTCAGTTTGCATACAAGAACTAAAAGACAAGTTAAATTAACAGATAACATATTAATATAGGAAATAGTTTCCATGCAGGAAAAGGAAAAAAAAGTAGTTATACCACCAATATGCTCATGCAAGGTTGAAATTTAATGCTCTTGATGAAATGAAATTACGGAAAACAAACAGACAAACAACTTCATATGTATATGGTTTGTTCGCTATGGACGTATGAAGATTGAAGATGCATATAATTCCTTTCAATTGTTATTTATGTTGAGCAAATTAAAAAAGTATGTGTAACAAACAATATTGTGGAAGAACTTTGAAACTTACAGCAATAACCTCATAACCCACAGGTGTTTGCAAACTTTACCTCACTGAACTTTAGAAGAACCAAATTTGAGACTGATGCTGGTTTCTCTCTGTCCCACCTGAAATGAAAATAATAAGTTCCATATCAATTATTTCATGACAATTCATGATATGTAAAAAATTTTGGAGTAACTGCGGTATGTGCCGTGGAAACTTATTAATCAGAGAGAATAGACAGAAAGAAAGAAGTACAGTAAAAGGATATATTAGAAAGGATCATAAAATGAAAATGGTAAAATGATAATAGATGGAATATATAAATTGATGGTGTCTAAATAAACAACTGAATATTTGGCATTTGGTAAACATTCACGATAAGATGCAAATACACAGCTAAGGATTTCTATTGTCTACTTTCTTTCTGTATGTGTCTATTTATTTCATACATAGTTTTTGCAAGTATACACAATAACTTGTCACCTTCTAGTACCATGGGTAAAATGAATTCATGAACAAAGCCAACTAGGTATGTTCTAGGAAGCACATAAATGGATGTTACAAATGCAACCTACATAAGGTAACATGATGACGACAACATGCCAACATAAAAAATGTTCTTTTCTAATAAATTCTTGAATAACAAGGAGATAAGCCTAAAATGAACTGGATTAATAAAATACACATATAGCTGATTTAGAAAATTTGAATAAAGGTTTTGTTGTGTCGTTGTTGTTGTTGTATTATAAATTCTGGAATAACATTATATTGACTTTGAACCAGCTAAAATTAATACTCTTTATGTATAATGACTTCTAATGAATTTGAAATAGAAACTCCTTGGCAAAAAAAGTAATTAAAAAAAGAAGTTTAAAAAATATTAAACACTTTTTTCAACCTCATACGATTGAATTTATCTCTGTGATCTATATTTACCTCACAAGCATCAAGTCGTTAATAGATCTCCACATTTTACGACCAGTGTTTATCTGAGATGTATCTCTTGCACTTCGTCCATGCCACAACTCTTTTACAATATACATCACTTCTTCAACACCTACCTTAAAGTCAGATAACCAACTGCAAAAATGAGGATTGGCTAATAAAATTGTACATCAGTTTAGCTGAAACTTAGGTAAATGCAAATGTCAGAATTAAAAAATGCAATTTATAGACTTCGGAAATAAAAGCTATTGAATACACACACTAATAGATACTATCAGAACCAAGGATCGCATGAACTGATGTACCGCAGTACAAAAGACTATTTAACCATTCTATTTCATGAATCCTAAAATCATGGACTCCCTCTAGCAAGGTCACAAGGTTTACAGTATTCTCAGCTGTAACTATCTATCTTATAACCTTTTGGCATGATAAGAGGGATAGAGAGAAAGGAAAGCATATTGGTCAAGTATCTCTTCTTTTAGAACTAAAATAAATTTATAGAAGATTTTTTTCTTTGACTAATAACCAGCCAGGGTTCTCTAACAAAGTGAAATTTTGAGCATTGCCATTAAATGATTACATCGTTTTATACTAAATATCAATATTTAAAGTCCTTTAAAATCTCTTTAAGACTTTTTCTTTCAAGAACTCCACATCTTACAGCCCAAACCATTAGTAATAGAGCGAACTTCTTTATTCTTTCTGCTTGCACTGTCCCAACAAAGGGAAGATGGATAGGGCTGTAATCCTCGTATAATCTCCTGTAGACACTTCTATACATGGATTGCAGTTTGCATAGTTATCATGTATGAAAAATATCCAACTGCGGGTCAAATTATAGGTAAAGTACCAAATAATACTTTTCAATGCCGGAATTATCTTTAAGCGTGCTCACCCATGAATATATCTTTTAGTCAGACAATCATGTACTTCAGTACAATAGTTACTTTTCTTTTCATGCTTTATTAGTTAGCCCTGAACATTTTATGCCTTTTGAAAAGTTCAACACAGTGCCTAGCTGCATGTTGAAACATCAACAGCTAATCTTACCCATATCCAGTATTCTAATCTTTAAAAGAGGATCAAAAGTGGTATCTAAAGAACAATTACATTGCTGTAAGTTTAACTCACCGCACACGCATTCTAATTAGCATATAGAGAATCGTCCCAAGGTTAAGGGATCTTGATCATGGTAATGGTACAGTTTCAAAAAACTTCTGGTATTGTTACCATGAGTTTCGGCTGTTACAGCTTTTGCACAAAATCTAGTTTACTTGTATCTATGAAACACACAATAAAAAAGGAAATAAAAAAATGAGATTGGAGCTTAAGGTATTTATAATGATGGATCCCAATGCAGGTTTGAACCGGTATGTGAAAATTATTGGGGTTGAATCAAATCTCCAAATTGATTATTTCCCCCGTATTTTGCCTATGCAAATGCATAGCTGACACAGGCACACTCTTCAGGCCATTTAAGAAACTCTATTCATCATAAAAGAATTGACTTTTAGATGTTTGTTACATTTATTTAATACTCTAACCACATCTTGTCATACACATTCAGGCTGCGTCTTTGATTGCTGATGACATTAAAGGTAAACATATTGTACAATTAATCATTCATTACAGAACATTAAAATACATTATCCCCGTAAATATACTAATTCACTAAAATAATATCGGTAAAAAGAAAATATATGGCAAAAGACCATACCAAAACTTGCATAGTTGACCCATATAGTAGCTCCTCATGCTCAAGAAGGCGTTGGTGAAGAATTCTGTAGTGATCAAGATCCAAGTTTACCACAGGTTCAGTATGAACAATAAAATCTGAAAGCTGAGTCACAACATAGGATGCCATCACTTGTCCGAAAATTGCAGGGATAGTCCCTAAAACAGGTATAATACGAACCCTGAATCCTGGCACTATCTGTTACCAAATTCATATTAGAATGCAAGTGCTAATACTGTTTATACAGAACATCGAATAACAATAATTTGTAAGCATTACAATGAAACAAAAAAGAGCATGGTAAATGTAGTTCCATCTTGGTTATGCTAAATAGATCCCTGGAGAATAACTATGAAAATCTTTCATCTATAAACCTTTTCACGTTCAAGAATCAGTCATTCTAACCTGATAATCAGAAGGATTTTCATTTTCTCCAGTTGGGCTTTTAAAGGGAAGGAGCTTGACTTTGGGTTTCTCCAGGGAAAATACAACAGGTATACCACCTTCAATGCCGTAGTCCTTTCGCAAGCGATATCTAACCTGCAACAGGTATAAAAACAACCAAAACATAAGCTTTAAACTTTGAAAAAAATAAATTATTAGGAAGCAAGGGAGGAAAAAAATACACTGTTTACAATGTGATGAGCTTTGGTATGAAACTCTCACTAACAGGAGCTAACTTTGGAGTCAGAAGTTTACGAAAGAAAATGTAATAATGGTAGGAAGCTCTGCCAGGAATTGGATAACATTGTGTTACTACATTGCTACACCATGCAGATGGGTGCATAAATAGACTACATACTCCAGCAGCCTTACTAAATTAGTCAGTAGATAATACAACTGCACTTTTTTGAACTGTTTATATTATACAGAACCTAGTGGAAATGGTGTCAATTGATCAAAGTTGCTGCAAAACGAGAAAAAAGAAAGCAATTCATAAAATCAGTGTTTTAGACTTTAATTATATATCATTAAGGAAATGAGAGAATTATAAGACCAAAGAATATTGTACAATAATATTTGCAACCAGAGTAACACAGCAACCTTAAGAAAAACATGCAGTATCCTAATGAATTAACCATGATGAAGCCACAAATTGGTGCATCTATAGAGTTTGAATTGTAAAAAGATAAAGGTAGGTAAAACATGACAATTTCTGCATCAATAATCAAATTTGTATTTGGAATTTCTGATGTCAATAAATTCTCTCAATTTCAGTATCAACTTTCTAGAATCAATAACCAATGGCCAGAGGCATATATTGAAGAAAACCACTATGAGCAGATAAGAAGTTGGTGTTTCAGAGCTCCACAATGATGAGATACAGACATATTTGGGAATTTATAAATAACTTTGTTAACATTTCACTTTCAGATAACAAAATAGAAGGAATTATCAGTTTCCTACTCCAGTTGTTAAGTCAAAATAAATTACAAATCCTTTATCTATTGCTCCTAACAGCTATTTAGAACTTTTGCACCGTTTTTGTAATATTTTCTGCTTCCCCTTGACTTTCTCGCTTTTCGCCAACCCATCCAGCCTGTCAGAGTTATTTTCCACTGAGTAGGAAGAGAGGATGTAGATCTCCTTCATCTTGCAGGCTTGATTCTTGTAATGCTCCTATGGTCTTGGTTATTTTCAGTTGCCCATACCCTAGGCTTCTAGGATGAAAACTAGGTTTGAAAGCTGAAACAGCTCAGTAAAAGCTTAGACAGCAACGAACTGAACCAAGAATCACTCAATTCAAAAGAAGAACATATGAACCTGAACAAAGCATGCTCGATTTTGATTACTATATGAATCGTATGTCATTTTTGTCCATGTTTTGCTTATTGGGTCTTGTGCATAGTTGTTCAAGCTCTTGGTTTTGCTCAGCATCTCTATTAATACAGCCACCAGTATAATGAAAGAATAAAGCCATGAGACCAGTTCATCTAAGATAATAAAATTATTGAAATGGGTGATCTTCTAAGTAGATCTCAAACCAAGCTGATGACTCAAAGCTCTAAGCAACCTCACTAAAGCCAGCCTTGATGACGACCAACATGCTCAGAGCTTTTAGAAAAGTGAAACAGAGACAGAACGGGGCATCACCTCAAGTTGCATGCATGAGCTCAAATACTATAACTTAAATGATTGGTCCATTTGGCTCAATAAAGAGTCATACTCTTGTGAGTTCTCACATCCCATACATTCCCTAAAAATCTTCTCTATGAGACTATGATAACATTCTCTTCCTATAGAGAAGAAGAATTTAATTAGTTGTTAGGATTTTGGTGATATTATAACATGGGGGTGATATGGTAAGTTTATTTTTAGGGTATTAGTTATTGAGAACAGTGAAATGTGTTGGTTGATTTTAGATATAGATACATGATACTTTGGTTTTTGAACTTGGATCGTGAGGCACTGGTGCATGAAATTGTTTTTTTATTTTTTTAACAAATATGTCTCGATATTCAGTTTTAAATTATCTGGAGTTGTGAGGCTATTTTCTCATGTGATACTTTTGGGATTTTGTGAAAGTATGGCTAACACATTGGCAGAATACCAAAAGATAGCTTTTCTTAAATAATAGTAATAGATAATAGTAGTTAAAGTTGTCAGGAATTACAATTTTATATTTGAATTTTTCTTTATTAGAATTTTAGAGTATAGTTTTGTTGAGATATAAAAATACAACTCTCAACTCTCACCACAATTTTAAAGTTTTGGCGTGATGGCTAGGGAATTTGGCATGGTATAAGAGCAATCCAGGTTCAAATTCAACCCGCCACGAATTTAAAATGGATTTTCTAAAAATTGATACTGATGTGTGAGTCCAGATTTCGATCCATTATAAGGGCACTCAACCTGTGAGGGCATGCTATAATATAAAAATATAACTCTAAAGCCTCACCTGAGTTTGGTGTATTGGTTAGGGACTTTAAGAAGCTTGAATTTAAATTCTAGGAGTTTGATTTGGATTTCATTTTAGAATAGGGTTTTTTAAAGTTTTAAATTATAGTAGGATTAGAAGTTTACTTGTATTTTTAATTCTAGCAGAGAAAGGATTTGAAACCCTATATATATGGGTTATTGTTTTCATTGTGGACTCTACGAGAAAATTATGAATAAAGCTGAAATTTTTAGCATGTGATTTGTAGTTGAGTGGGCATGTGAATTGCCAAGGCATGAAGTCATCTTTCAGATTAGATGTTTGTGTATGAAACTGGTCTAACTCAGTTTATCTTTTGTCGAACTTAAGACTTATATTGTTCAACAAAGTTCTTGTGTTCATGTCCATTCTCAATATTGTGGTAAACTTGATGCTCGTGCACTCAAGTGTATCTTTCTTAGATATTCAGCCAATCAAAAAGGCTACAAATGTTTCTCTCCTACTACCCAAAAGTTTTATAATACCATAGATGTCACTTTCTTTGAAGAAACTCCTTTCTACTCCAATTCTGCAATTCAGGGGGAGAATAACACAAATGAATTGCAGAATTAGGATTGATCATCACTCATTGAACCAAATTCCCCATCCCAGCTTTCCTCCACTTTATCTTCTCCCTCTAATACTCCAATTTTGGTTCCAGTTTCAGATTCAGGTTCAGACTTGATCCAATATGTCTCCATCAAATTCCATGCCCGATCAATCTCCCATTGTCTATCCTAAACATCTTCTTCCTGATGATGCTGTAAAAGTTTATGAAAGAAGAAAAAATATTGATCTGCCCGTACCAAATCAGCAATGTCAAGAAACTCTTCTGAGCCAAGCCAAACTTGAAAGATACAAGATGAGGTAGATTCTGGCCCACAATCAGGTTCAGGTCGTGACCCGGAGTTGGATCATCCTATTGCACAGAGAAAAGGTGTTCGATCATGCACTCAACATCCTCTTCGCAGTTACATCTCTTACACAAATTTGTCTCCAAAATTTCAGGCATTTGTGACATCCTTAGACAAAATTACGGTTCCCAACTCAGTTTATGAGGCTCTGAGGGTTCCGAAATGGCGCAAAGCAACCTTGGAAGAGTATACTGTACTTGAAAAGAATGACACTTGGGTATTAACAAAACTACCTAATGGAAAGAAGACAATGGGTTGCAAATGGATATTCTCAGTCAAACAGAAGGCAGACGGATTTGTAAATAGATACAACGCTCGACTACTGGCTAAATGGTTCACTCAATCATATGAGATTGATTATCAGGAGACTTTTTCTCCTGTAGCAAAACTTAACACAGTTCGTGTCTTATTGTCTATTGCAATTAACCAGGATTGGCCACTATTCCAACTTGATGTCAAGAACGCCTTTTTAAACAGATCTAATCGAGGAAGTCTATATGGATATACCTTCTGGCTTTGAGACTAATGATACACAGGGGAAGGTTTGCAAGCTGAGGAAGGCATTATATGGACTTAAACAGTCCCTTAGAGCATGGTTTGACAGATTTACCAAGGTCCTTAAACAAGATGGATACTCCCAGACATAGTCAGACCATACTCTGTTTGTTAAACGCTTCACAGATGGGAGAATCACAGTTTTGATAGTGTACATTGATGACATAGTTCTCACTGGGAATCATGATCATGAAGGAGAAATGAGGAGGCTTAAGATGCTATTGTCCAAGGAATTCGAGATTAAAGACTTGGGTTTTCTGAAATATTTCCTGGGAATGGAAGTGGTACGGAGCAGTCAAGGAATCTCAGCCTCTCAATGCAAGTATGTTCTAGATCTCTTACGTGAGACCAGAATGATTGGGTGCAAACCCTTTGAAACTCCTATGGATCCTAATACCAAACTAATGCCTCGAACTGATGAATTGGCAGCCGATAAGGGGCGATATCAACACTTGGTGGGTAAGCTAATATACCTAACTCATACACGTCCAGATATAAGCTTTGCTGTTAGCATTGTTAGTCAGTTTCTTGGCAACCCGTCTGTAGATCACTTGGAGGCAGTAAACCGTATCCTAAGATACTTGAAGAAGGATCCTGGAAAGGGACTTATGTTCAGGAAATCAATAAATCGGACATTGGATGTTTATACAGATATTGATTGGGCTGGATCTCCTTATGACCGAAAATCCACATCTAGATATTGCTCATTTATTTGGGAAAATCTAGTGACATGGTGTAGCAAAAAACAGGCAGTGGTAAAACGTAAAAGTGCCGAGGCCGAGTTCTGTGCGTTAGCCTTGGGCATCTGTGAAGGAATTTGGTTACGACGACTGCTAAACGAACTTAAGATTGGAACTTCGGATTCTATAAGGATCATATGTGACACTAGTCAGCAATTGCAATTGCCAAAAATCCAGTCCATCATGATCGAACTAAGCATGTGGAGATTGATAGACACTTCATCAATGAGAAAATTGAAAGCAAGACAATCTCACTCAACTATGTTCCATCTAGGTAATAAGCAGCAGACATCTTGACTAAAGCTTTGTTTTGGCCCAATCTCACTAAACTACTATACTTGGTTTAGAGAACATATATCACCTAGCTTGAGGGGGAGTGTAGGAAATCAATCTAGGCGTGTGGTTAGCTGTATCACAGTGTATAGCTAATTCTTAGGAGATTAGTTACCTAAAATACTGATATTCTATATTAGTTAAGATTCTGTATTATATAGATCCTAATTTATAAGAGCCTATCAAGGCTGTATGTACAAGATATTGAGTGTATATATAGGTATTCAATCCCATGTAAATAAAAAAATAAAAAGCATTTTTACGAATTTCACAAAGCTTCAAGTATCATAGAAATCCATATTAAATTCAAAACAGGTCAATAATTAAAATCTTGAGTATTACATTTCAACTTTATAGCAACCAAGGTTTTACATAGTAATTCTCCACCATATGAATCTTGGGTATTATAATTCAACTTTATAGTAACAGCCAATATTTTACGTAGTAATTCTCCACCATATGAGACATAATATTTTAATTTTTATAGTAATAGCTAAGGTTTTACGTAGTAATTCTCCACCATATGAGACATCATCCTTCGCGCAAAAAGGAAAAAACAAATCGCCTTCAAGATGAAGTGAATCCCAACGAAGCAAATTACATTCTAGAGGAGAATAACTTGGTTCATATTTTAAGAGATGGATCTAGAGGATGATCTTTTTGTAAGATTTACTAAAGATTGTAACTTGGAAGGGTTTGATTTTGTCGTTTTAATATTTCTTTAAAGTAAACTTGACGCATTTGATATTTTGATGGGGCATTTTAGAATGGTTGTTTAGTCATGTATGATGGAATTTTGTTAAAAATTGTAATACTATGTTTTTTATGCTTAAAAATTATGATGATTCTAATTTTTAAAGTCATTATGAATACTTTGTATTTATGAAATAGCTAAATAATTAATAAACCAAATAGCCAATGTCAGTGTTTTAAAAGCGATGCGCCTTAGCACTACAAGCGCTCATGTGAGGCGATATTGTAACTTAGTGTCTTGTGTATTGCCAGGCGATGAAGGTTACTAAGGCGAGGACCTTTTGGCACCTCAAGAGCTCGCCTTAGCGCCTCAGGACTAGACTAAGGCAGGTGATGCAACGCGCGAGGTGTTTGCCTCTATTTCAAAATTTTAAGGGAGCGAAAGGTGTCCAAATTCCAATAAGTAAAGTTAATTTTTGTTATTGAATTTTTATGTTTCTTTTTTCTTAGACGAATTTTTGCTATTTTAAGTTGTAATGTATTTTATTACCTATATCATTGTGTGGACATGTAACAATTTGACCCTTCAAGTTCAAAGTTTGCTACTTACTTATCCATGTTAGCAGTTACTAGTTAATATTATTATTTATTATTTGGTACTTACTATTTCATTTAGATGGTGTATAACTTTTTAGATTTGTGACTTCGAAATTTTGGTTGTGATTAATTTGTCTTGTTGCTATCTATCGATATTTGCATATTATTTTTAATATTTATGAATTCTTTGAATACTTATCGCCTTAAATTCACTCAATTGATTTCCTTTTGCTTTTAAAACACTGACCTATACTACGTGTTACATTTTTTTTCCTTTTTTTTCTTTAACCTTTAACATGAGATAAAGTATTACATTATAGGTTATTGTTCTTTTCAACATTAGGTGAAAGTATTAACAATTTTCTATAGCTTGTGGATAACTCTTGACTAAGGTTATTAATCTGCCAACCGCCAGCCCAAAAAAATTAAAAAAATAGGATGCCGCTCACTAAAAACAACCATCAAATGATCTAGGTAATTATGACTTCTAAATGGAAGATGGGTACTAAATCAGTCTATTAGGACAATAAATCAGGAAAAAAGTCACATATATCTTTTACTACATAGGAACTAATTTTCAATTATTAGCTGTGTGCACATTGAGATTCAAATAACAAGCTAATGGCAATAGATGAAGTATATAGCAGCATCTGGTGATCAATCTACTTCCACTAAAAAGCCAAAGGCTTAATGATGCATCATTGCAAGTTTTCGCCTTGGCTTATCAGAGAATGAGTGAATAAAATGCATGAAACAAAGTAGTATCACAATGGATTACATAATGTAGAGTCGGACAAGGTACTTTGTGTGCAATACAAAAAATGGATCCAGTACTTGCATACAAAAAATGGATCCACTACAAGTACGAGAATAAACCAAAATAAGTAACACCAAGAAAGTTATAAAACCATAGAAAGTAAACATTAATCTTGAAATCCTTTTGATACTTGTTTCAGAAGGATTTATAATATGAAGCCTCTTTTGGAAACTGTAATGAAAAAACACATTATATGCAATAGTTAATATGCTGTGTTAATGATTTTGAATTAGTGGACTGCATTATATTACACAACAGAGTAAGTGAAGTAGAAGCATAACATGTTACTTCAGAGGAAAAATTAACAAAAAATGAAAACATAAAATGTTAAAAGACTAAAGAAATTGGCTTGTAAAACATCAAGGTTTTAAATATCGGATGTCGGGTTCATGTCGCTCGACCAAAATTCATATCGGATAGCAAAAATCGAAGATATATCGGGGGACATGAAAAAAATATCGGATTGCCATATCGGATAGGTTGATATAATATCATAAATGGAATCTTCACATACTTGATAATTATATTGTCTAAACATATGAAAAAGTACATATGAGAAGGTCTTCATTTTCACAAGCAACCACCAAGTTTTTGCTTTTGCATAGAAAACCAAATAGACACTAGAACAGCTTAACTGCATATGTTTAGACAATTCTTATTAAAGTATAATAATTATCCAGAATATAAAAATTACTGTTCGCGGGGAAAACTGTTGTCTTTTTCATTGAAATAATCGTCATCTTGGGTTACAAAAGATCCAGTCTTTTTTAGATCCGGTTACAATTAAATCAAAGAAAAATAAGAAAAATTACAACTTTCCTTTTGTGAACAAATCGCGAGCTCCTATTTTGCGGTCGTTCGCTTGTGTGGGTTCTTTGCCAACGCCGGGGTTAATCCGTGGACCACCGCGCGATCTAGATCCGATCGGATCTACACGATTATACGGGTATTATTCCACGAAGGGAATAATAGCCGGGAGGGATTAGTCCACCAAGAGAATAATCGCTCGGATCTCGAGATCTAAGACCAAGCTTAGATCTGGAGTGTAGTCTCGTGTAGATCTCAGATCTGTTCTTTCTTCCTCTCGAAATCCTGCCTTTTCTGACGTGGATGCTCGCCGAGGATCAGATCCGAATGTGCAAGTCTTCAAGTCTTCAAAGCTCCGAGTTCGCTCTTCAATCCGGCAGAGTTTTGGCTCTTGAAATTCCAACCTTTGAAAATGAACAATGCCTAGCCTATTTATAGGCTCTCTGGACTGTGCCCGCGCACAGGAGATTGTCGGCCACCCATAGGTGGCCGGCACTGGGCCGAGCCACCTATGGGTGGCTCGGCTCTTGGCCGAGCCACCCATGGGTGGCTCGGCTTTTGCCATATCGGATAGGTTGATATAATATCATAAATGGAATCTTCACATACTTGATAATTATATTGTCTAAACATATGAAAAAGTACATATGAGAAGGTCTTCATTTTCACAAGCAACCACCAAGTTTTTGCTTTTGCATAGAAAACCAAATAGACACTAGAACAGCTTAACTGCATATGTTTAGACAATTCTTATTAAAGTATAATAATTATCCAGAATATAAAAATTACTAATACAATTCTTTATACACAACTTTATTTATTAATGTAAAGATTTATTAATTGTTCAATTTAAGAATTTATGTTATTATAAAAGTCACTTCATAATTTTACACTCAAAGAAAAAGATTACAAAAAAAATGTTCACATACAAAGCGCGTGCATTATACTAGTAGGAACAAAAAGAAAATTCTACTGAAATTGAAAATTAAACTCGTAATTGCTATTCTAAACTACTTAACTGCATCGACTAACAATTGCAGGATTTTTATTATATATCTGTCATTTCTCCAAACAAGAAACTAGTAAAACCGAAGTATATGTGCACCTAATACAAATAAATTCATGTGTTCTTATAGCCTTCCATTATAAAGAAAACACATGCAATAACAAGTAATTAAAACCTACAACAAGCACCCATATGGGTAGTGGATGGGAAACAATGTGAAACTTTACATAAATAGAAGGTGAAAGATATTGCAAATCATATGATTTTAACATGTCAATGTGAAACTGATATTTCTGAATTTTGGCCGATATTTGATGGCCGAAATGTCGCCTGATATATCGGCTATTTTCCGACATGTCCCCGACATGACCTCAAAAACGCCATACGCATTAAATTCAACAATTTCGTGGCGGCTAGGCTCCGAATCCGCAATATCGGCCGCCGTGTCCGACATGGCGGCCGATATTTAAAACACTGTAAAACATGACTTCAAATTTCTAAGAGACTTCGCCAATATTGATTCAGATTACTCTACAATCAAAAAATGGGAAAATGAACATAAAGACATGCAAGTTTCTGCACAAAAGGAACGTTGGAAAAACCAAATGGCAACTAACTGGAAGTTGAGCCATGAGTGTGTAAACATTTGATGACGATTTTCCCCGCATTTGAATAAATTAAGCACCGGTGTAACAACACAGTAAATCCTGACTACTAATGCAACAACACTAGAATACTGTACTAAATGTTATATTTAAGAGTAACTGAATATTGTACTAAATGTTATATTTAAGAGTAACTAAGAAACCATAATTCATGCATGCAGCTTACATGCATAATCCTGTTTGGTTTCCTTTATTTTGGGTACATCAACAAGTTTATTCTACATAAAATCAATATCTAATAATAGGAAAGTTTATTCAGTATTTATTATGTCTGAACTGGCTATTACCGATCGAGACAGCGGGTCATTGCTTGATTCTCTTATGTCAACAATACGAATTCGTGTTGGATCAGCTCTTGCACCAGCACCCATTGCAGAAAGCACCCTCAATCCTCTGTGATAACATGCAGCAAGGAGGGCGACCTATTATTTTCAGATAATTGGAAACAAATAACAGTTCTTTAATCATCCATACATTAGACATAATACAAGTACAGTATTTGCCCAAAAAAGTAAATTCTAGAATGCATCTTCTAATGGTTAAACAGGAACCCATAGAGCACATGCAATAACTGAAGTACAATGAACTTGTATTATTACTAAATGTGGGACTCAGCTGTGATACTTCACTCTGATTCTTTCATACTACTCAATAATTAACACACCTATCTTAATATTTTTATCCTACAATACTTTGTTAATGTAAGATTACAAACTACAGAATCTGTTACTTAGATCTAGCAGTGATATAGGCATTGATCATATATGCATAACCTTTTATCCTATAAAGGATATGAGTCCCCACCTAGGGTGGCCCAGTACATGAGCTCTCACAATTGAGCCACTAGAAAGAGTCGGATTTATCAGATGTACACAGCCTTAATCGTTTCTAAATGAGCTATCACCTCATTTAGAAAAATTACTTGCAAAACTTATGCCCATTCCATGTTTTTCTTGGCGCTTGGGGGGGGGGGGGGGGCAGGATGTGTGGGTGGGTGGGTGCAGCTAAGAGCAATATCATAATATACCTACAAAGGAAGTTGCCCTTATAGACTGCATGGAACGAAAGAGTTATATAGCCAATAAAAATAACTTAAGATCTTAATGGAAGAGAAAAATCATATAGCCAATAAAAATATAAGTGATAAAGGCTTTGTTGTTGCACAAAACACTAAATGACTGTTTCAATGAAACAATTCACAATTCCAAAGCCAGCATCTATAGGTGTCGTCAGCATGAACAGTTAATCTCCAACCAAGGTGGCATTAGGAGAATCCATGTTTTACACACTTTTCTCCACTTCAACATTAGTCTGAAACTTTTATCATGTTGTTATTAAGAATGTTCTTGAAGAAATTTCAGAGAGGTAGGAAGCTCAAGTAAGAACCAGTTTATCCAGGTCATGATAGGAATTATAGATCACTGTATATCAGGTGTTGTGGAGTTTATGATGCTTTAAGAAGATGTCAACATAAAAGGATATACTCTGAGATGATATATTATTATTATTGATTTTAGAATGTGTAAGGGGGATTAGCTGTTAGTAGGACTAAGTTACTGAACACAATGAAGAGGAAATGAGACTATGTTTCTTAAACCTAGTTATCGCTACACATGAATATGTACTTTGCCAGAAAGAGAATACAGCCATTGAAAGAGCTCAGGCAGAAGAAGACTACCTTGGTGTCAATATTATCTATGCAGTCAAGAACGAAATCAGGTTGGCCAGATAGTATCTCATCCTCCGATGATGAATCATACAACTGTACTCTTGCTTCAATTTGACACTCTGGAAACACTGATAATAAATGCTTTTGCAGGCATACAGCTTTTGGAGATCCAACATCATCTCTTGTAGCAACAGCATGCCGATTTAATGATGAAAGTGATACCTGAAAATAAAATAAAGAGCTCCTCAGTATTTTCTGCACATATGACCTACTACAGTTCTAAATATACTATATATAGAAATTGGTAGGACGTCTGATACTGTCCCGTTACCAGGGCCAGTAAAGATCAATGGAATAGAATCAGAAGTTCCAGGACCCTAAATGCTTTAGAATTGGAAAATTCAATAAACAATATTTAATGCGACTGAAGTCCGTTAAGTGTTTTATAATACCAGACAAAAGGCAACGGAAACAAGCGGTTTTCACTGGCTACAGAAATATACTTGATATCATTAATTACAAAAAGAGGATCATAAATAGGTGTGTCTCGAAGCAGCAGGAAAAAAACTAATCTGAGACTGGAGAATTCTTTTCTACGCTGGATCCTTGAGCAATAATCAACAGTAAGGACTTCTACATACATCAGCAAATAGCACACATAAAGACAAATGATGTACAGTCTCAAGGGAATAAGACCAGGTGTATTCACAAAAAACTAAACCGGCCTATAACATCAAAGAGATAGTCTTTGAGCACGAGGATGTGAGCTAAAAAACAATATATTCTACTTGATGTCCATTTGCATCCGAGAATTGGCAGGACTTTAAGTCATAATACAGTACAGATGAGATAAGGAAACTAACAGCAGTACGGCAAGCAAAAACCAACAAGGCTAAAGGGGTATAAGTGTAACAAGGCTAAAGGTAGAAGTGCCCTTGTAGTAGTCTTAGATTTACTTAAGATGGTGCAAGAGGTCTGGGAAAATTCTCTTGCATCAGGAAAGGAATATAAGTGATCCACTAGGTAAGAAAACACTAAGCAAGATGACACCCTTAATATCTATAAAACATATAAGATTCTCCATTGTGTATATATTTAGATTAAATAGTTGAAACTTATACTGCACGTATATGAAATATATATTACCACCATAAAACACCTCGTTTGGTATGCATCAATCTAGTCAAGTGAGAAGGGAATGAAGGAATGGATGAAATAAGCAGGGGAATGGAACGCACATCCCATTCTCATGTTTGGATGCAATGGATGCGATGAGATAATGAAGAAGGAATTACAATCTTTGTATTTTTGGTACTGGGTAATTAATTAGCAATCAAGGAATATTTAGAATTTATTTAAAAAAATTTATTCTTAGTTTAAGTGGAAATGCCCATTCCGAGGGTTTTCAATATCGGATATAAGTGAAATATTAGACGACCAAATTTTATATTGGATTTAGATATCGGGAAAATATAGGGGATATGTAATCAAGAACAAGCGACCAAGCGAGTGATTGATTAATCAAGGGTTTTTCCCTATTGTTTTTACTGGCTGATCCACCTACGATTTCTAGTGGCCAACCCGTCTAGAGTTCCTACTGGCTTACCCACCTAGGGTGTTTCTCCTGGCTTACCCTTCTAGCGTTTCTACTGGCTTACCCACCTAAGATTTTTTTGGTTGTGACTATACTTTTCTGATAGTTGACATCTTCAAGTATTCCGAGCAAAGAGTCTCGCAACTAATAGTTCTATTTTCATTTGTAACAAGCTGAACATATGTAGTACACATGTCCAGCTTAAGGGGGAGTGTGGGTATTATTAATATTTAGATTTATTAGATATTATGAGATATTGTGAAATATGTTGATGGGTGTCAGCACTTTACCTTAAACAAGCCCAATAAATCTATTACTAAATCCTCTAATACAGATTAAACTCAATTAAACCTACCAAAATCACAATTAAAACAATCTCTCCCCTTCTTCTTAAACGTTTTCATACTTAGAACATCATCATCTCCAACCTCATTTATAACAACTACTCCCCTTCTGGACGTTTTCTTTTATTTTTCCTTATAACACCATCATCTCCAACCTCAATTATATAAGAGAGTCCTACAACATCTACAACAGAAAAACAAGAGTAAAAATAATTCCAACTCCACATTCAACCCATACCCCATCATCTACAAGACTACATATTACAAGTTTACAACTACTACATATTCAATCCAAACCCATCATCCCACCATCTCAACCCAAATGAGTTGCATATAGGAATTATAAAAGAATTAAAGATTAATTTTTTTCATTTTTGTATGGTGGAGAGTATGTGCAATATTATTGAGTGGGTTTTGTTTTTAACAAAAAAAAACAATTAAGCTTTTTTTGTTATGTCACTGTATTCCCACCTACAAGATTCAAGTTTCGGAGTTCATTGAGGTGGCTCTGAGACTTCCTTATATCCAGAGGCAATGACAACTTCACATTTGATAATTTTCCATTGATAAATTGTTCACTTTTCGTTATTCTTTTTATTTGTTTCATAGAAAAATCATGAAAATTGCTATCAGTCCCTTAAATTTGTAATATTTTGAAATTAGTTTCTCAAAATTTCATTGAAATTGCTATTACGTCCCTGGATTTCTAGGTTATCTCAAAATTAGTCTCTCAAATCATTGAAACTGTTGTGTTGTTCCACAATTTGTTTCAGATTAACACATCAAATCAGGAGTAGAAATAGCAATTAGAGTGATTAATTTCCAAAAATTTTGAGATATGGAAGACCTAACAGCAAATTAAATGACTTGATGGTCTAATTTTGCAATAACTTGAGAATTGCGGGACCTAATAGAAGTTTCAATGATTTTGACATAATTTCAAAATATTAAATATTTAAGGGACTAAATACTTTTTTCTTGTTTGTTTTTTGTGAGGGCATCAATCAACAAACTTTCATTTTTTTCGATATATTTTTTACTTTTGGGAACAAATTAATTATTATCATTTTTTGGCTACTGATTAAGTTTCATTATTATTATTATTACATCATAAAAGAGAATGCCCACAAATTTTCTCATAAATTGATCAAACAAGGGTGCAATACTGTAGGTGAGCCGAATTGTAGTAGCCTAAATAATTAGTGCTTTAAAACTTGATTAATGGAGAATTTTTTTTATTACAGAATAGGGAACTAATTAAGGGCGCTTTCGGGATTTCACCCCTAACTCTTGTTTTTCTGCCACGTTCGTGTTTAGTGGCTAAAATCAATTCGACGAATTGGTCGGCACCTCCTTAACGGAGGATTAAAACAGGGAAACCAAAGAAAACCCACAGAAAAAAAAACAAGGAAAAAAAAATAATAATAATGGAAATATCCTCTCATCTTCAAACAAACCCTTTGAGAACTAGATTAAGATTGTGAAAAGAAATAAAAGAAGAAGAAGAAGAAGAGGAATGAGACAGTGAAAAGGGAAAGGAAAAGAGAGGATTTCATCCAAAATTCAAGTTAACTCAAAGGTATAAACCCTTTCCTTTGTTGATTTCTTGATTTTATTTATTGATTTATAATAAAAAATGAGATAGAACTAACCTGACCACCGACGGGGATCGTCGGCGACCCTACTCGCCGGAGGAGGGAGTTCGCCTCGGGTGGCCGCTCCGACGGCGGAACTTGAGCAGCCGCGCCA